ATCGAGAACTTGTTTCCGTAGCCGCATGTCGAATCTTGAAGTCAGAGGGACTGGATATGGTTCTCAAGAATACAGGAAAACCTATCGACTACTACTCCCGTTTTCCATGACATCCGTTTTACCTTGTTATAGATAAACTGCTCTCCCTTTTCAGCAAGCAATTCGTGATAATATTATAGGCAAAAATTGGTTTGGAGATAGAATCGCTCACTCACTGGCAGTTGGTCAAAAGTGTAACTAGTCAAAAGGCCATCGAGCGATAAATTGTACTGTTCGATAGCCACTGATTGACTCATCCAGAACTGGACAACTCTGGAAGGTAATCCCATCAAATCGATCGGAATTTGGAGAACGAGGAAAATCACCATCACCATCACCACCACCAGTACCACCACCACCAGCACCACCACTGTAAATGAGGAAAGATTGATTTAGCATTATATAATATTTGACTCTTGTTCTCGCTAGTAACATCACAACCACGTCTAACAGCATGAACATAAACTCTTCTGCATGTGTGTGTGTGTGTGTGCGGGGAGGGCGGGGGGGGGCGAACAATGAGCGCGGTGAATATAAAATCGGATTAAAACTCAGTCTGACTAACCGAGTCATGCTTTGTTGTTAAGGCACATAAAACACTTGACTGATAGCTTAGTATTGTTTTCTAAAAACGTCCATACCCCATGTTCTGCTACGTCTTTATGCTTCTTTTCACATATCTTTTTTGTCCCGTTCCCAAGTTATTCTTTTCCAATCAGATCATATCTTTAACTTCTATATAGTCAGCTTCTGCTTATGTTCATACTGGCTACTCGTAGGTGACGTTACCTCTGGGGATAGGCCAGATGTTAATCGCAGCTGCTTCGGTCCAGTTCCGTCCGACTGGATCACTCACCAGCATCGTCCTCGTTGTTGTCCACCACAAAAGACCAGACGGTGAACCGCGTGATATCACACGCCTGGATCTGTTCGTATGCATCATAACTCAGACACACACGCACACAAACACCGCATCCCATAGCCAGTCCATTATTGCGGGAGACACAAAGAGCAACGATAATAACACTGGCTAATTATAGGCCGACTCCCTGCGGTTCAGGCATATGGCACAATAGAGTCCGAGCCGATGCGTGGTTCACGGTGTGTGGGTCACGTCAAAGTGTCCTTCGTGGTCGGTTGAGAACGACTTGAGAGCCTGCACAGAGGAGTAGCGTTGCGGTTTGGTCTCTCGAACACAGCGGGAGTTGTGTGGAGTCTGTGTACGATGCAAGGATTACATGTTACATCGTATTCAATGATACGGCTACACAAGTCGTTACAACTTTCAATAGACGTTACTTTTGTTCGGCATAACACGAATTACGTCATCGGGAGTAAACAAGTAAATCATCTTTCGTCAATCATGAATCTGAAGAAGACGAGAACTATACAGTCGTCGACGAAGAAACACAATATCGTGTTACTAAAGATCACAGATCCTTATAGAATGAATTAAGTTGGAGGCTGATAAACCAAAAAATGCTTTTCTTTATGACTGGCAATTCAACTAAGCAATCAATAGAATGCATCGCTTCAAGGATTTCAACTGTTATAACATCTGAACTGCATTAGAGAAGTACTGATCAATTTTAGAATATTACGGCTAAGTGAATTGATGTGTACACTCAAGTTTTTTTATTTATCCTGTTTAACCTGTACCCAACTTATAGTAACCTATTCAGAAATATCCATCCAGTCATTCATCCAATTTCCATGTTTTGCGCAGGAAGTTCAAGCCACTAAAGAACACTGACTGCGCGTTGACAACGGACACAGGAAACTAGGAAAATAGCTAAGATTCCACGGCACAATCAGATTATAATTTTTTACACTCTACTGTGAACTCAATTTATTTTTCAGGTAATTAATTCAAAACTGTCCGGGGAGCATAAAGAACAGCGAAATCGGGACAACGGTGGTTGGATTCGAATCCACGACTGCCGGACCGATGAGTTCGATGATGACGATAATCCATGTTGCTTAACCGTGGTCGAAAATCATATCAGACTTTCAGCTTCTTTGATTTTTGTTCAAGCGATAATTCACACTATACAATAATCCTGATTGCTGTATTATTATCATATTTCACACTCGTCCGAGGCCAGACTGTGTGCCTAACAAATCATGGTTCAATAATCTTTATGAAAAAGTAAAACGTTCCATGATTTGCATATGCGCTGAATACTGCCAGCTTGCCCAGGTAAAGGCAGGCGAATTTTCTTGAGGAATCCACAACCGGAACATTTGGTTAGTCAAAACCTGACCTGCAAGGCAGCGGGGTGGTGTGTGAAAACCGAAATCCATTGGGGACGGGAACGGTGTCCAGTTCATCGGATCACACACCCTTTGGACGGGGTCAAACGTCCAAGGTGTCCAATGCATCTCGATGCCCATTCGAGCCGGTGACCACTGCCACAATCTGAAAGGTCTGAGTGTGGTTCGTACGCCTCCTCGTGGTTGGTTTGTAATCAGGATGTCGGCTTTTCGTCCTCTCATTTTGGTGGGGAAACACCTCGGCCACGAGAAGGCAGTGAGTAGGGCTTCCGCAACAGAGGCTATTTGAGATGCTTGGTTGTATGGGAGCATTTGGTGAGGTGCAAGGAAATTGTGACCAGCCGCAACCCTGCACACCCATCCGCCGACCATACTGTATGCGGTAAGATAAATGAAAATAAGAACGCCTCGGCAGAGTAAAGTCAATGTGTAAAAATTTGTGAAATGGATGAATAGAATTATGTGATTGTACCACTCACGAATGGCTTGGATCAGACTTGTTGCTGGTCCCAGTTGGGTCATAGTTCTTTTGTGTGTCAACCCGGAAATTCATTTTGGCCCCCTGGAAACAACTTTTGCTCCTGGTACGTTCCAGATCAATTTGTCTGGTATATCGCCTAGACCGAAGTAACATTACTACCACGGTTGTGAGGTACTGCTCCTATTTGTGAGTAGTATGAAAAATAGTTCGTGATTCTTTTTGACGAGGGAAAATTGTTCTATCTCAAAGAATAACTATCGATTGCTACATTCATTACCCGTTTTGTTGGCTGGAATTGCGATGATATGTTTCCGATGAGATTTCTGCGTTATATATGCCAAATCAGTGATACCCCAACATTATTTTCACCCTTTCAGAATTTAGTCAATTCGATACCAGCGTTGACAATGGACGAGCTAGTACTGAGAAGAATGAGATGCGATACCCAAAACAAACTCGCAAACAATGGATTGTGCTATATCGTGTATATGGAAAATGAGAAACGGTCTGATCGGCTACCCCGTGATCGAGCGGGTAGTGTGCTTGCGTTCTATCTGTGAGTTGTGTGTGTGTGTGTGTGTATATGGCTTAGCTGTCAGGTTTGTAGCTCTCTCCTACTGAGGTTCACAGTTACAGTAGCAGGGACCACAAAAATTACGCACCACTGACGATTTGCCGCAGCTACCCGGGTACTCTTCATCGACCATCATCCAATCATTTACAATGCAAAAATAAGAATCATCGATCGGTGTGATACTTAATTCATTTTGCGGTTATCGTCCTCGTCATTGTCCCCGTCAGTATCGTGTCTTCCTGATCACATAGATTCGTTGTGATTCGAATCTCCTGGTTTTTAATTGTATGCTAAATAAATACCATTGTTATCACCCCTTTGATCTCTTACCCACCCCACCCACTCCGAGACCGAATTGGTTCCGACTTGATTTGATGCTGAACGATTCAAAGTGCAAGACAAAACATTTGGTTATGATGATACCCAGTCTGGAATTTGCGTTAAGAACGAAGATAAACACAAAGATTTCACAGCACGATTACCACACCCGAATTCGAGGATAGGTGCTCGAATTTGATCGACTTCAATATCGATCGATTGGATGCGTTTGTTAACTGTTCACCGATCGGATGATTATTACTCATCACTTACTTCCTCACACATCGCATTGTCTTAACCCTGGTGTAAACCGGACCGAAGTTTGGACCGAACAGATTGTGTTTTCTTGTTCTGTCCACTGGACCGTTTATCACGAAACCGGACAGTATCAGACCCGTTCCGAAATTCCGTTCACGAATCACTGGACTGTACGCGACTGTTTATGTTTTTTTTTGGGGGGGGGAGGAGTTTTGTAACTGAACGCGACTATAGACGACCGCGAAAGCCAACAATAATAATATGCTACTAACTGGAACAGTTCGATATGTCACATGTGATTAATATTCAATGAAGAAATATTTCATTTTGTTTGAGTTGGATGGACGTAGATCGGACCAGGGAGGGAAGATACTCTCGGATTAAGCTACCAGGTCCGTCCCCGGGGTTGTGGACAGGCTGATACCTTCACCGAAGAAGGTTCGCTGTGAATAAGTTGTGACATATCGCAACAAATAAGCAGTCGCGAACAGTGGTGGGTTTCAGTTTGTTCACCTGACTCCTGTTTAAAAGCCGCATAAGTCCAACAACAGTATCGTGGCAAAGGTCGATGTGATTGGCCTTTCAAGACTGAAGTCATTGACCCCCACACTTCCGAGGCGAGGGATTACTTCCTGCTGCTTTGCAGTTCACACTTGGTTATGCAAAGGCTAGATTTGCTCCCTCAATATTAAAAAAAACGCTGAATGGAGCCGAGGAAGTCTCTCGTACCAAACTCCCAAGGAAGTTCATGATCATCCCGGGAACCGGCTTACCTTTTCCAAGGGGCCAGTCACAGTAAAGTAAAGTGAAGTAAGTGAAAGGGGAGGGGAAATGAGACAAATACACATTCTCCTCGTTCTCGTTCTCGTCCTGATCACGTGATCCGGTCTGTTGTGGCCTCCTCTCCATCTGCCTTCTCTCTCACACTCGACTCGCTTAAAATAAGATTATATTCGGACCTGAAAAATAGAATTGTATGAAATGACTCGGTTAAGTGAGATGCAATTGTGCCAAATTCTGACGAACCATAGACAGCATATTCTCATGTACACAGAGTTTGACTGATTTCCAACGCCCCAACACGCCACCCTTCCTCACTCAACCAACCCGGTCCGACCATAGTTTGACAGGTCTGAATCCCCCGTGGCGTGTTTCCGTCCGCACACACAGTCCTCGTGGGATTGCAATCTGCATATCTTTATGTATGCGTGTATATATACATACATATATATACATTACATATTCGCATTAGGCACTAGACCCTAGGCACATCGGCATACGTAAGTGTCCAACCATACCACCACCAACACACGCAATCTGGAAATTTGTGCTATTTTACTTCACCAAACGATCTGAAACTGACCAAACCAGATTGTCAATCTGAATTCATATTTCGTATTTCGGATGGCGTACAGCGCTGTGCGAGCTCTCGTCTGTGCCATACCTGTCGTGTGACTGACAACGGCTCGGTCGGAGTTGTCAGTGTTCCGACAAATTGATCGCTGACCGCGAACCCTATTCCGAATGAGA